AGCTCTGAACACTCCCCCGACCAGATTCACAAAGGCAACATGGTCCCGGATCAAGAATGACTTTCTGGCTTCTTTCACGGGGAAGCCTCCAGTGATAACAGGTCTTTTGTCTTCGAGGCTTGGAGCTGAGCTTCTTCCTACAGGGAGAAGTGGGTGCTCTTCCCCACCAGAGGCTTTTCTGTCTGCTCACTGAGACTGCACGGCATCATGCATGGCCATCTGCACCCACAGCCTCTAAGCTTTCCTCCTTCCAAGCCCTCCTCCGCCTCCTCCTTAAATACCATCTGCTTTGTTTGTCTCCCAATCACTTATGTGTCCATGCTCGTCCATGAGTCTACTGGAACATGCAAAGCTTATTTATACATTTTTTTATTAAGATGACAAATGGTCAGCTGTACCATATTCCCACCACTTTATGTGGATTCCCTTGAAAGAGTTGACCAGAGGCTCAGATTCAAACTCTCTGCCATTGAGTCGTTGCCAATTCGTAGTGACCTGTCTGACAGGGCAGACCTGCCCCTGTGAGTTCCCCAGGCTTGGACTTTACCAGACTGCGGGTCTTTATGGGAGCAGAGAGCCCAGTTGCCTTTCTCTTGAGGAGCGGTTGGTGGTTTTGAACTGCTGATCTTGTGGTCAGCAGCCCTTGGCATAACCACTACACTCCCAGGGCTCTGACCAAAGACAGGATGCCAGGCTTTCTTTATTGATGCTTCCTGGGTGGTCAGGATTCTAGACACCTCTTGTCCACAGAAGCCGCAGAAAGCAACCGTGTACAGGGTGGCTTCAAAAACCCGGTGGGATATTCCTCTAGTTCTCTAATGCTCCCTCCCTCCCCCGCCCCCATCCCCACTATCATGACCCAGTTCTGCCTTACAAACCCGGCTAGACTGGAGCATGCATGCTTGTGTTAGACAGGGTTCTCTAGAGAAACAAGACCAGGACACTTTTGATTATATATATAAAATAAATAGCTAATTAGTTAATTAGCTGTTAATTAATAAATAGCTGTAGAGCAGGACAAATGGCTCAGTGCAACTCACTTCCCTGAGACAGCTAATACCCTGGCAGTCCTTCAAGTCTTGAGGGCCACCAGGTACAAGTCAAGGAAGCAGAGAGCTGAGTCCTCTGTAGAGCAATTCAGGCAATCTGGCCACAGGCAACAAACAGCAAGGCAGGTCACCAACATGTCAGCCAGATGACAGGGTCTGACAGTCCCCAGCTCAAGCCATGTATACACCAGTAGTGTGGTGAAGCAGGTCTTGAAGGAACGTCAAACTACAGTGACACAATCCATGAGTTTGGTGTCCCACAGTTAGTGTAGCTTGCAAGTTGAGGCAGAGAACCAGCTAAGGCAGCTGCACACTGATCTGATCATCAAAGAACAAGAGACAAGAAAGGTGAGGCTCACCAACCCATTTATCTCTCTGCCCTTCAATTAATCTCACATGTGTTCATTGGCCAGGTTGGCACAATAAATCCACCTATCACAACTATCAGAGCTCTTAACACACAGAATCCAGGACAGATAAACCCCTGAGGAACAATAATGGGAATAGTGATCCCATGAGGGTTGGGGGGATGTGGAGGGAGAGGGTAAGAAAGGGGAAACTTAATGCAATGATC